GAATAAAATGTTTTTTAGAACACAATAAAGAATAAAAACTACAAGAAAATTATATACTTAAAACCTCTTTGTTCTTGTCAAAATTTAAAAATTGTGTTATTGAATAAAATGACAATGTTTTTTAGAATTGGCCTAAAGGTCTAGATACCAGGCCATAAACTCCAAAAAAAAATGTTTTTTAGAACACAATAAAGAATAAAAACTACAAGAAAATAATATACTTAAAACCTCTTTGTTCTTGCCAAAATTTAAAAATTGTGTTATTGAATAAAATGACAATGTTTTTTAGAACACAATAAAGAATAAAAACTACAAGAAAATAATATACTTAAAACCTCTTTGTTCTTGTCAAAATTATTACGACTTACAGAATGTAAAATCTTTTTTTTTAAATTCTCACTTTTACGTATTAAAATCGATATAATACAGAAGCGGTGGCCTGCCGACGACCAAGTTCCTGTCAAGCTCAACAATTACATTACTTGATTAATATGTCACCTCATACTTTACTTTGCGGAAATCCATTATATTTAAAGTTAATTAATTAAAAATGATGTGTCTTACCTTGTTTTAAGAGCACCTCTCGTCCTCTCTCAATTACTCTTTCTACGACTTTTTTGCCATCAGGGCGCCGGCATTTAAAATGAGGTGTAATATTTAACAGATTTCATAGCGGGGAAGTTACTTTGTTCGAAAATTGTTAAGGTTAATGTGTCTTTTTGCGCTATTAGTTATATCTTCTTTTTGACTACCCCGTTGGTCTGGTGGTTGTAGTAGTGCGACCGCTGATGATGAGGTCCTGGGTTCGAGTCCCGGGTCGGGCCAAAAAAACAATTATTGAGTTTTTCCGTCGAGAAATTCTCAGTAGCTGCCCAAAGTCAGGAACCCCTCTTGACTCGGAAAGCAAGTAAAGCCGTTGGTCCTGCGCCTGATCTTTCTCCGGTCGTGTCGAATTATCGACCCATCGGATTATGAGAGTGAGGGAATAGCGCACCTGTGCTTGCGCGTACACTTGGATACTATAATCCTGTCCTGTGCCGATGGCTAGTTACCGTTGAGGCTGGCCGCTGTAGACGAAATTCGGTCTGGAGGACATAAGTAATAGTTAAATCTTTTATAAATTAACTTAAAAACTTATAAATCAAATCACAAATATTCATAAAAGTAGATAAATTAAAAAAAGAGTAACAAATGTGCAAAAAATTAAAGAGAGTACTACTGAGGTTTTGTTTTGTGTATTAATATAATATTCTAAAAACTGATAAGCTATTATTTAAAACTAATTTTTCTATTAAATGACTTTGTATAACAAAAAACTTCACCTCAGTGTCGTCAACTAGTGGCATCGTGTGTGCGAAAGATTATTTGCCTTCATTTTTTTAAAGAATATTAACAATGCTATAAACATTACTAATATTCCCCTTAACCACTCGTGGTAAGTTTAAATTGCTTGTGTTACGAGTGGTTCACGCCAGTAGTCGAATGGCGGATTCGAACCCACGACCTTGATGAGTTCGCGGTTCGCGCCCTGCCATTAGGCTACTGTCGCTTAAATTCTCTCTCTCATCATTGGTTTGTCCCTTAACTATGTTACGGCATCATATCAAATTCAAACTTGTAATGAATTTATTATTAAAGGATAATTAATTCCCAAACATTGCAAAGTTAATGTTACAAGAGAATAACTAAATTTACACCCACTACCTTCCGGACTTCCCTTGCAAATTATTGAACTTCGATTGTTTATGATTACAAAGTTTAGAAGGATATGCTCGTCATAGATATTATATATTGTGAAAGTTTTGCGTAGTATGAAATTCTGTAGAATATTCATTACAATCATCAAAGACGAATCACGAAAAACAAAGAAAGTACAAAATAAGTATGAAATAAAACCAAATACAAAACCAAAATAATGCGATTCCGTTTGACTGATGAGAATTATTCGTTATTACAATTATGTAGGGTTATTTTTCAAAGAGTAGCCAAATTTTAAACATAAGTAAAAAATATATATATATAATGATATACCGTTATAATGATAAACCGTTGGAAAATTCGAGTAAATAAGGTATCTACTTTTATTTGAAATTATCCCTAATTTGATATATATATATTGAAAAACTTTTAATTGTTGGCAGGTATTTATAAAAGGGGAATGTTAAGATTTTTTAACTTATATATTACTTATTCTGAACCTTCTCTACAATTGACTGGTATTGCAAAATAAATATATTATAATCGGAAAAATTATAAACAAGCACTGGTACTTCCCTGGTCCAATTTCTTGAAGACTTTCAGCAGCTGAACGCCATACAAGATTTTATCATAATAAAATATGTATTACTAAAGCTGGAATACTTACGAAATCACCAAAATATACTGCGTGAAATAATAACTATTTCTACCGCAGCCAAAACATAAATGCCTGGAACATTGCCAGAATTCAATCAACTTAATTAGACCATGTGCTATGTGGTCAACGCTCTCTGAAGCACCCTGTCAGGGTGAGCCCTCACATGATAACCATTAGGTAAACAGTATATAAAAATGGAAAGGCAACTTCAAAGAGATATAATTAATTAAATTATTTTACATTCCGAAGTCCGTGTTAAGGCATAGTACCGAATAGAAGAATTAAATAACTCAAATTCGGATTTGAAATTATTTAATTGTTTTTAATTATTTGGAGTCGCCTTTTACTTTAAAAATAAAGTTTAATATTGCGACCTTTTGAGTTCGGACTGTAAATTCGTTTGTAATTTCAATTTTATGAAAAAAAAAAGATTATAATTTCAGTCAAAACTATCCTAGTGTGACAGAAGGTTCAATTGCTGCTAGATATATAAATCATTGTAATAATGAGTATTCGTCGAAATACCCTTCCGGACCAAATCGTACCATAACATCCTTTTAATCATTTGCTGAATGAAAACCTTCGCCACAGATTGCCTCGTATTTTCTTTGGCATAGTTGCCACGCTTAGAGACTACTTACTGCTCTTTGGCATGGTTGCCACGCTTAACAGGCATGTTAGCAACCGCAGTATTTAACCTGTCAACCCCCAAGCGGTCTGATGAGACCGCGGCCATATTCCGTCAAATCCCTAGCGGTCTCATGAAGTCGCTTTGGGGTTGAGAGGTTAAATACTGCGGTTGCTAACACGCCTGCTAAGCGTGGCAACCATGCCAAAGAGCAGTAAGTAGTCTCTAAACATAAGTTTTAATGGTTTTAAGTGCTATAGGTGGGTGCGGTCGCTTGCGAGCGCTCGGGATTTGCCGGGCGTATGCAACTGCACGGGATTTTTATGACGCTTGAGGGGTTTTTCAGTTATCATTAGGAAGACGCTGTTGTCCATCTTCCGGTTATTTCCCTCTGTCTCCTTTTACCATACAATAGGGATGATAAGGTGTAGTGGATGTTTACACAACTACTACAAGGGTAATTCATTCAAACGGTCTCCAGAAATCGCCCTTTTGCCAACTCGTGAAATTATTCCACTGTTGGACATGTGTCTCTCTCCTGGTGTAATGACATGATCGCCACACTGGATAATGTTTTTTCTTTGCGTATTGGTAATGTTAATACCAGACGTGTCGTCTTTGACTTTACTTCCCGTTGCTGGTATTTCTGGAATTTCCAATTATCACCTCATACGTGCTGTGCAATCTTGCGGAAAGAGTGTACTTTTGAAACCATAAAAAATCATCACCCTAAAATATTTTTGCTACAAATGACGAACTTCACTTGTGATAAAAACAATTGACACGCGACTTCCCGCCAAAAAGTTTTTAAGTTTGAAAAAATTTAAATTCGTAATTTAAACATTTATAAGCGGCCAGGCGCGCAGAAATTTTCGTGTGCCGCATCAACGAGATTAAATGGAGTACTGCATTATTTCACGGCCATCACACGGCAAAATAAATATAATAAAATAGTGTAAATATAAATAGTAAAAAAACACAAAAATGCTGTGCGTTCTAGAAGTAGAGATTTATCAAGGGTTAGAATGTTAAGCACGGTTATTACTTCGCAGTAAACAGGAAAAAATGGCGCCAAAGGAACGACCCTGAGACAAACGTGCGTAGAATATTTTTATGTAAAAATGGAGTGCGAACGAAAATTATTCGAGAATTGAAAATCTTATTCTTACTTTTTTATAGAATAAGGGTGACAAATCAGTACACTGTCCATCTAATGGTTAGTTGATATTGTGGTCTATAGACATCTACAAAGTTATATAGAATAAACCATATATGAAAAATTCATTGCTTTATTCAATAATTCCAATAATATATGGTGTATGTTTTTATTACATGTATAAAACATACACATTAACGCTCACAAGTGGGACTGCTGATCAAGACAGGGCAGGTGTTCGAATCTCGGGTTGGGCCAAAATCAGTTGTTATGTTTTTCTGTCATGAAGTTTTCAGTAGGAGTCCCTTTGGTTCTGGTTTGAAGGGTTAGAGAGTACAGCTCAGTAGCTAACTTATCTAGGCGATTAGAGTAAAATGTTTTAATTTCGGGTCCTGTATCAGGACATTTTTATGGGTGAATGTAGTTATTCTAAAAGTTAAAGTTACAGCCTATATACGTCCCACTGCTGGGCACAGGCCTCCGTTTATTTCTGAGAGGGTTTTAGGGCAAGGAATTGTCCGCCGCGCTGCTCCAATTGGTTGGCAATTTCACATCATTCACATGTCTTCGAAATATTTTTTTTCTTATGTCTCAGACATACAGGTTTCCTCACGATGTTTTCCTTCACTGCCGAGCACGTGGTAAATCTGGACTTAAAATTGCAATTAACAATTTCATTGCTGCCGGCGGGAATCGAAACCGGTTTGCTCGCGTACTGTGAAATTTACAGCGAGCGCTAACCATCTGAGCTACCACGGCTCCACGGCACGGTTAGTCATTCTAATACTTTAAAAATGTCTTTCGTTGTTCAAGTGTTTTCAAATCAAAAAGGGTGAATTTTTAAGTGCTTAATTTGTGTTATGTGGTCAGGTATAAGGCGGAGATCTACTCAAATTTCTAGATGGTAACACTCCATTTGAGCCAAGGAATCCCTCTAATTAATTAAAACCCTCTTACATGTATCTGCCAGGTCTGAAGGGTAAAAAATTAGTTTTGAGAAGTAACAACGCAGCTTAGCGCAGCTTTCTTTATATGAAATTGGTTGCTTGTGTTCATGGGCTACAGTGGTCCCTTTTTTATAAATGTTCTCTATAGAGAAGGGGCAGGCGGGCATGCGGTTCACCTGATTGTTAATGACCGCCGACTATTAATATCCTTAACAGACCAGGAGAATTGAAGGTACATTGCCGTAAGTTTTTTTATTTGTATCAGTAAAGAAAACTCGCTAGTGGTAGCCGATTTTACAAAGAAGTTGCCGTTCTTCACTGGATGCGGTCAGGTGCAAGGAGCTGACACTGAGAGAGCCACAGATGAGAACATCAAATATGAAAGCAATGGGTGCGTTTGGCAGAAAAAAGCGCTAGCAAGCGCTTATAAGCGCTAAAATAGTTTTCGGCCAGGACACAATTGCTACTTCAGTAGCGCTGACACAATCCGCCATTTTGCTTATTTAATTTGTTTGTTTTGAAGTAGAGTTTATAAGTTGTTTTGTGCAATATTAGTTTTAAGTAATATAATGACATGAATAAACATATACATGCTATCAAAAACTCATGATTGGTAAGTTTTTAATATGAATACTTTACAAACATATATTTAAATTAGGTTAGATTCCCCCGGTTAAAACTAACATCGTGTCCTGGAGGAAAATAGCTACTTACGATTTGACAGCGCTTACCGCTTACGATCGCCATTTTGCTTACAAGCGCTTGCTAGCGCTTTTTTCTGCCGAACGCACCCAATGTGTAGGCATGGAATACTACTCCGCTTAACTGAGCAAGTTTTTAGAGGCCAATTTGGCCTCCAAACCCGGGTGTATGTTATCATAAGATGGACTAAGTTTGTTCGTACTAGAATATTTTAGAAAATTGAGTTTTAAATAGTATGTCAGATAAATGGTCTGGCTGAAAAACAGTAAATATTATTACCATCTGCGAGGAAGCTTTTAAGCTCTTCTCCGTCTAATCTGAACTGACCCTTATATAATTTTGGAGATTACATAAATTTTACGTAACAAGACTGACGAGTAGAATTCGAGCACGAGCGGCTATTGAAGGCTTTTAATCGTAAGCTGATCATTGTTACGACATCAGTTGTTTGGTTCTTATGTTTTCCTGGTAAATTCATCGTGTAATTTTACGGCTCTATAGTTAATCATCATCATTATTATCATCACTGCAGCCCATCAAAAGTTTACAGCTGAACATAGAAAACACGCACACAACTGACAAACGAACTCATTCTTACTTATTCCAAATTATAGTAAGTGCCCACAGCCGCCCATGTACACTTGTAAACTAGGAACCTAAGAAGACCACTGAAGAGTTGTTACTACTCAGAATTAATATGGAATGCTTCACAGCCTACAACTATACCGGCTTTTTATACCCTTCAAACTGGACCCTCTGTATGCAGACACTTAACCAACCAACATTAAACAGCAGGAGCAACCAACATTAAAGGAGACAGCAGATACCCCTGGGAACGAAACTGGAATGCCTCAGATTTCCAAAAAAAATATGGATTAAAGGTGAAACGATCACACAGCTCACTTGATGGTAAGTGGATGCTGTGACCCGCCCCATACACATCTACACCTATCCTCGATTCAAAATCCAAACCTAGATGCGTTGTTACCCCTGAGGACTAAGACGGAGTGCCTCGTTACCAGTGAAAAGAGTCTTTGGCTCTCAATAATCACCATACGAAACACAGCAGCATTATGCTGCTATGTTAAGCTAGTCGAGTCCAGCCGACCCATTCGTGACGCAGCAGTAATACAGCTGTAGCATGCATTTACCACGCTTAAAGCTGTGCATTGTGCAGGAGACAAAATTTAAACTCACTGGTCATGATTTTATCCTATCTAGGCGGAGAACAGCGTATCAGCCAAGTTCCGAAAACGAAAGAATATCGCAATCAATGCCTTTCGTGTATTTTATGTGTATTACGAATCCGCGATCTTATTTACGAATAAAATAATGTTATTTTTACTATCCTCAACCTTTCCTAAAAGTATTAAAAGGGGAAGCTTACTTGTTTGTGGCAAAACAATTGCACGAGCATCTGTTAACACTCGGCGGGTATTCTTTGTCGACGTACAAAGTTATCATAGAGGTGTCACCTGTAATATCAAAACGAGATATTTCATAAACATTTTAAATTATTTATTTCATACTGCATTTTTCCTATAGATATATCAACCCTAACCCTAAATGTAACAAAAAAGAAGGCTGTTTACTACTACTTACTAAGAGGATGATTCTTTCACCGAAGATCAGTATTGTTTATTAGGATCATCAAAAAAATTATCGAAAATGGGCCTCTACAATTATATTTTTTATTTTTGTTTACTTCATTTATTAAGATGTTTAAACAAATGTATTTACAAAAATATTACAAATAAAAGAGTATGGTATAAAATATTATACTATAAACAATAAGTACGTGTACGTAATACGAGTTGAAAAGAAAAGAGCACAAATGAAATATTAAATTTGTAATATTTGATCTTATAAGATTCTTAATCGAGGATAGATGTAGATGACCATGGGCCACGGCATCTACTTATCATCATTATCGTACATAAGATGAATGTGTGTTCTTATGCCATCCTTATTCTATATAGAGAAAAAAATAGAGTAAGATTTTCAATTCTCGAATTTTCCTTCGTAGTCCACGCACGTATGGCTCAGGGGGCGTTCCTTAGGCGCCGAATTTTCCTGTTTACCGCAAAGTAATACCCATAGTTATCATTACAACCCTTAGTAAATCTCTACATCTCGTAGCCATAGCACTTTTGTGTTTTTTAATATGTACATTTCACTATCCGTGTAGTGGCGATGTAAAAATACCCACTACCCTATATCGTCTCGCGTGTGTCGTTGAAACAGAAACTTTTTTATCCAATAAAGATTATAAATAATACTTATTGAAAGTCACTCTTTTGTTCAATTTACCACTGGTTCGGAAGAAAACCTCTGTACTGGAAAAAAACTAACAAGAAACCTAACTTTTAAAAAATCAGCTTACAATCATTTTTGTTTCACAATTAACGACACAAAACAAATTATAAATAGCTTGGTAGCGAATATCTTTCGTATGTGTTATTATCATCCATAAATTCCTTAATATTATAATAACCATTTTTATGCAAACTTAGTTTATTAAGTTTTCTTAACTTTGAGCAGGTCAAATTATGTATACTCGTATTAGCAGCATCTTCCTGATTACAACTCAAAATATTTAAAAAAAAAACTGCTTGGAATCACAGTAGACTTTTCGTAAACTGTAATTATATGGTAGAGGTACATTGAAGTGTTTATTTTGTCATGTGATGGCGGTATAAGAAAATGCATTACCTTTTTTCCAGTAGATCTCGTAAGAGGTGACTATGGTAAAAGTCAGAAATACCAACTTGGAGACGTTACAAATTTGCGAAACATCTGGCTTCGCCAATTAGATTGCGTCTGAAAAAAATTTATAACTTAGCGAAAATATGATGATAAAGAGCCGTGGTAGCTCAGATGGTTAACGCTCGCTGTAAATATAACATAACGCGAGTAACCCGGGTTCGATCTTCGCCGGCACCAATGAAATTGTTAATTGCAATTTTAAGTGGCTGATTTACCACGTGCTCGGCGGTGAAGGAAAACATCGTGAGGAAACCTGCATGTTTGATGAATAAGAAAAAATATTTTGAAGACGTGCAGTTCATCAACACGCATTGGGGCAGCGCGGTGGACATTTCCTTGCCCTAAAACCCTCTCAGAAATGAGGGGAGGCCTGTGCCCAGCAGTGGGACGTATATAGGCTGTAATTTAACTTAATATAAACAACAGTAGTGGTTCATGTCTACCAGTGAACTGGCCAAAGGGCGATTTCTAAAATGCCTTTATATGAATGGCCGAAAGTGTATATCGAAAAATATTCATTATTCCGATCTACTATATTTATTAGCAGTAATTGAACCTTTTTAATGATAACAATGGACTATAACAGTTTTGATAGTAATTGTGATTTTTTTTTAAATGAAGTGACAAACGATTTTACAGTCTACCTTCTGGTAAGAGTGGGCACTGTAGTCGATGGACACCAGCTAACTTCAAACGAAGAAGGCTACAGATGTATTTATTTATTTATTCTTTTCATTCCCTATTACAAAAGAATACAAATGCCGTACATATTGCCATTACGCATTCTCTGACAGTCCACCTTGAGTCACCTCTAAGGAGTAACATGAAGTACACAGCCAGTAATTATATTTGATCCCTATATCCTTCACATCGGAGCACATCAGTACACGTACTGATGCTTACTGTACTGCTAATGATACCTTATCTCAACACTGCTATGTTTATTACATTTCAATCAAAAGTATTCAGTAAGAAGTGAGAGCTATTTTTAGGTGTTTGAGAAGAAAAAGTTAAGGCCGCCGTTTTTAACTTAAAATGGAGCCGGTTTCTGTCCAAAATGCCGCGCGTTGATCTTTGCCGCCTAGGCGCGTCGTATGTGTATCAACATGTTTGTAATCACTAATATTGTAAGTAGATAGGTCGTTTGATACTTATTTCAGTAGGTTTATGATATTTATGTCTGTTTCTTTACGCCAACCCAGTCGCTTCTTATTTTTATTATGGCTATTTCTCATTTTAATTTTACGTCGTCCTGTTGCGTAAGGTGTAATTCTGATCGTAAGCGACACAACTTTCTCGTTCGAAAGCCGAAACAAGACCTGCCTGGAAGAGATCGCTATGTAGTGTCGCCACCCAATTGTAATTGTCGCCGCCAAATTGTACATGTAATCTGCACTCTGTTACGTGCTTTGTAAATTTGTTTGTGGTGTACAATAAAGCGGCAGGGTTATCGGC